CGTGTATTGTGCTTCATTGAAAAGCGACAGGTATAGAAAGAACGTACTCTAAAACAAACTTCAGATAACTTTTAAATTTGCTCTGATATAAAATTTTAATTTAATCGGTTTAAACTTAAAAAAACTAAAAACTTTGTTAATATATAGAATTCTATTTTATTTATGACTGTTAAACTTTGTCTCTTATGAAAAACCTTGAAAAAATAAGTTGTTTTATTACATAGCTACTTATATTTGATAGTTTAATATCAAAAATATTAAAAATTTTAAATTTATTGCTTTGATTGCTGTTCATTGTATTTATAAAAGTTTTCAAAACTAAACGAGCTTATAAGCAAAAAATTGCTTAGTTATGAACTACTATTATTAAAAACTATTATTAAACTACTATTAAAAATCTATTAAACTGAGCCAATAAAGTTTTTGCGTACATGAGTTGAAGCACACCTTCAATCTAAAGTTCATATTGAGAAAAACATGGCGCTAAACAACACAGCGTTCTTAAGAACTAGTTCAAAGTATGTTTAATTTAATGTAAATATTAATACATCAATACATCAGAATATTTCAATACAATATCAAAATTAAATACGTGGACTAGGTTCTTCGAAAGAAAATTCGGCAAACTAAAACGTAATTTGTTCATATTTGATATAACGCTGGTTGCCAACGGATTTTGTAATAGTACTGCATTCATCTAAAAAATTACAGCTGCTTCATAAAGCGTTTCGAACATAAGTAATCCACAGAACATCTACTGGTACAACAAAATCATACAACCTTAGATATATCAATTAAGACTAACAGCTTAGTATTTGCTGCGTAATTAATAATTGCGACGACATTATAAAAATAAGAGCAATAAAACTAAACGTAAATCTTAGAGCCCCAAGCAGAGAAGATTTTCCAAACCGTAACCGCCCGCATCGGCATCAGCAGAGTTAACGCTTGCAACCGCCCGCATCCGCACTGCTCATTATCCGCACCGCACCCGCGAAAAGGCAACCTAAATTGGCCGTCTAA